TTTGGTCATATAGTAGTTAGGAAACCGAATGAAACATTATATATTTTCTGAATAAACCAAATAAACCGAGTTTTACGAACATGACACATACATTACCCACCAATGTTTTGGTTTGGGTTGAGTAAATGACGTCATAAGTACTCGTGCCAGTCTTCTTGAGTCGAATTCTGTGATTCAAAGAAATTAATGGCGGACGAAAATAAATCGTAAAATTTTGGCCCTTTCCTTTCGAATATCAAAAAGACATTCCAGTGGGTGGTTCTTAATGTATTCTAGATTATTTCAGCAAAGTTCCAGCTCGAATGAAAGAGTTTTAATTTTGGAGCGATTTTCGTCCAAGTGGCCCTTTAAAGATCCATCTATAAAATCTACTAACGATAATATTAAATAACCTTTCATTGAACTTTGACAAAATAATATTTTCTAGAATTAAGAAAGAGTATCAACAAACAAGAATTTGGGTAGGGGTGTTCCGCTGGGATTCTGAAAGGGGCACCCTGTTTATGACAAAAAAMCCCAAATTTGTAGACCCTGTTTATGACAAAAGATATAATTAATTGCACTGAGTTCCCGTTTCAATTATCATGTCAGCTCGCGTATCGATTTTTTACGACCATAATAACCAGTTTCAGTCAATACGAAAGTAGAAACTCTGAATATGACAGGAAACTCAGGAAGAACTTGGAACTTGAGTGAAATTGCATACTCTGTTTATGAAGCTCAAGAAGCTCGAAAAACCATACCCTGTTCAGCGGATCATCCCCGTATAGTCCATATATTGGAGTACCCCTCCCCCCCCCCGGGGGTTAACCCTATTAAAAATTTCCCATCACAATAACGAAACTTGAACTTACTGATATACTAACACAACAATTAAATAAAAGTATTTGATTCACGAGTAATAGAGTGCTCACACTAAATCCGTGAAACAAATACTAATTTTTAGCACTAAATAGTGATAATTAAACAAAAGAAAACAAAGGATTYTGTATGAAATAGTACTAATTAGTACTATTTAATGTTCACAGTTTTAGTACGTGCACTCTATCAACCTGCAGGTCTTCTTTGCTGTCATGTAACATTATTAGTATTTTTAGACAAGTAGATATGATAAATATAATAATTTACAACTTTATGCTGGATTATATTCATCTACAGGTGAAAATAACAGTGAACAGCAAATGTTATCGACAAGCTCATCGACAAAACAAAGCTTTTCCTCCAATATTCATTAATTCCACTTTTGTTAAAAATACTAAAACAATTATTATTCACCTCAGGCTCAGTGAATATTGGTGGAATATTTACCT